AGGGAAGAGACAGAGAGATACAGAGAGAGTGGGAGAGAGAGATACAGAGAGAGAGAAGGGGGGAGAGAGATACAGAGAGAGGGGGAGAGAGAGAGAGACATAGAGAGATACAGAGAGGTGGGGGAGAGAGAGAGACATAGAGAGATACAGAGAGAGGGGGGAGAGAAAGAGACATAGAGAGATACAGAGAGGGGGGAGAGAGAGAGACATAGAGAGATACAGAGAGAGAGGGAGAGAGAGAGACATAGAGTGATACAGAGAGAGGGGGAGAGAGAGATCCAGAGAGAGAGAAGGGGGGAGAGAGATACAGAGAGAGGGGGAGAGAGAGATACAGAGAGAGAGAAGGGGGGAGAGAGATACAAAGAGAGGGGGAGAGAGAGAGAGACATAGAGAGATACAGAGGGGGGGGAGAGAGAGACATAGAGAGATACAGAGAGAGGGAGAGAGATATATATAGAGAGAGATACAGAGAGAGGGGGAGAGAGAGAGACAGAGAGATACAGAGAGAGAGGGAGAGAGAGAGAGACATAGAGTGATACAGAGAGAGGGGGAGAGAGAGATCCAGAGAGAGAGAAGGGGGGAGAGAGATACAGAGAGAGGGGGAGAGAGAGATCCAGAGAGAGAGAAGGGGGGAGAGAGATACAAAGAGAGGGGGAGAGAGAGAGAGAGACATAGAGAGATACAGAGGGGGGGAGAGAGAGAGACATAGAGAGATACAGAGAGAGGGAGAGAGATATATATAGAGAGAGATACAGAGAGAGGGGGAGAGAGAGAGACAGAGAGATACAGAGAGAGAGGGAGAGAGAGAGAGACATAGAGTGATACAGAGAGAGGGGGAGAGAGAGATACAGAGAGAGGGGGGGAGAGAGAGAGACAGAGAGATACAGAGAGAGAGGGAGAGAGAGAGAGACATAGAGTGATACAGAGAGAGGGGGAGAGAGAGATACAGAGAGAGAGAAGGGGAGAGAGAGAGACAGAGAAAGATACAGAGAGGGGGAGAGAGAGAGAGAGACATAGAGAGATACAGAGAGAGAGGGAGAGAGAGAGAGACATAGAGTGATACAGAGAGAGGGGGAGAGAGAGATCCAGAGAGAGAGAAGGGGGGAGAGAGATACAGAGAAAGATACAGAGAGGGGGAGAGAGAGAGAGAGACATAGAGAGATACAGAGAGAGAGGGAGAGAGAGAGAGACATAGAGTGATACAGAGAGAGGGGGAGAGAGAGATCCAGAGAGAGAGAGGGGGAGAGAGAGATCCAGAGAGAGAGAAGGGGGGAGAGAGATACAGAGAGAGGGGGGAGAGAAAGAGACATAGAGAGATACAGAGAGGGGGGGGAGAGAAAGAGACATAGAGAGATACAGAGAGAGAGGGAGAGAGAGAGAGACATAGAGTGATACAGAGAGAGAGAGAGAGAGAGAGAGAGAGAGAGAGACTAGAGAGATACAGAGAGAGGGAGAGAGGGGGGAGGGAGGGAGGAGAGAGAGAGAGATGTCAAAAAGGTTTTTTGATTCCCGGTATTTTTTAACAACTGGTTCTCTGCCCTAATGACCGGCTGGGTAGGCGTGGCTAGTGGGGGGGGGTCATGTGACTGCTGGAAGTGACTGACGTCGAGCTGGCCACGCCCACTCAGGTTTTGTGGCTCCCGGTGTTTTCTTTTCTGTGGGAAACGGGTCCAAATGGCTCTTTTGCGTGTTTAAGGTTGCAGACCCCTGCCTTAGGCAACAATTGTTCAATTATCTTCCCTGTGGCTTTCCTGTAGGTGTCACAACATGACGATTGTGTCTCTCGTCTAGTAGAAGAGAGTATTTGTAACTCAGGGTTGAACTGTGGGGTCCTTGGTGCTCTCTGAGCTGGGTGGCTATCTTGCAGGTGGTTCATGACCCAGCTAGGGGATATAATCAGTACTAGAACGGAGTGGGGTTGAGGGGGAGAGGGAAGAGGAAGACTGTGGGGTCCTTGGTGTTCTTTGAGTTTTGTTGTTTCCTTCCAGATGTTTCATGACCCAACTAGGTAACATCATCAGTGCTAGAAGGGAATGGGATTTGTGGAGAGGAGGAGGAGGAGGACAAGGAGGACGAGGACGAGGATGTGGAGGAGGAGGAGGACGACGACTGTGGGGTCCTTGGTGATCTCTGAGCTTAGTTGTTTTCTTACAGACATTCCATGACCCAACTAGGGAACATCATCAGTGCTAGAAGGGAGTGGGGATGGTAGAAGACGATGATGGGGCTAGGGAGCTGAGCATCTTAGCCTAAACCAAATCCCTCAAAAGCTAGAGAATTCCTGGAAGCTTGGCGTTTTTAAACAAACCAGCCATCAACTGCCACAGAGAGATAAACAACATCTACACCCCATTGAAAAGAGAGAATCCAAAAGCCAAAAAGGAAACAGAAAGACCAAAACTCCTCCTTGCCAGCCGTCAACACCCAGGTGAGCTGAGATTAACCTCAAGATTAATACTACACCCACAAACAAGAAGTAAACAATACACCAATTAAGGAAGTAGGAACTACCAACTCAGGCAAACAATCAAACAATAAACCACAGCCTAATGAAGGAACCGCCAACGAACACTCCCTCTAACGCTGACATGGGTGAGCCATTAGTGTATAAACAGAGAGCAAAACCCACTCCTTTCTAGCACTGATGATGTTACTGTCAGACTGCGGTACTGTCTCAAGATTAAAGGAATCTCCAAACTGCCAATCTTTAAGGAAATCTTTCTTTAATTGAGCTCAGCCACCGGATCATGACTCCGCGCGGACAAGGCTGACCTTTTGCCTCCCAATCCCTCCCTTTCCGACCCCCAAGTCTCTGCTTCTCATTGGCTGTCTTCCAAGTCATTCTTCAGACTTCTTTTCCCCGTCATTTCTCAGGAATGTGCCCCCCCCCACTTATCTCCACGACAGCCAGGCTTCAAAGGGATTTTGCAGGCAAAAGTTTCAGAGTTTATCTTTTACTGTCCTCTGCTCTCTCTGTCTATGACAGCGTTGCAACGCTGAGAGTTACCTAGTTCGGTCATGAAATGTCTCCAAGAAAACAGCCAAGTTCAGAGATCACCAAGGACCCCACAGTCCTCCTCCTCCTCCTCCTCCTCCTCCTCCTCCTCCTGCAAATCCCCCTTCCTTCTAGCACTGATGATGTTACCTAGTTGGGTCATGAAACATCTGCAAGAAAATCGCCAAGTGCAGAGAGCACCAAGGACTCGACAGTTGTCGCTAGTCGCGAAGTCGTGTCCGACCCGTCGCGACCCCATGGACCACGTTCCTCCAGGCCTTCTTGTCCTCTACCATCCTCCGGAGTCCATTGAAGCTCACGCCGACTGCTTCGGTGACTCCATCCAGCCGCCTCGTTCTCTGTTGTCCCCTCCTTCTTTTTTTGCCCTCCATCGTTCCCAGCATTAGGCTCTTCCCCAGCGAGTCCTTCCTTCCTTCTCATGGTGGCCAAAGGATTTGAGTTTCATCTTCAGGATCCGGCCTTCTAAAGAGCAGGCAGGGTTGATCTCCTCTAGGACCGACCGGTTGGATCGCTTTGCAGTCCAAGGGATGTGTCTCTTTTACTTCTTTTTCCTTTTCTGAACCTTCTCGTGTTCGTCTTCAGCCTGTCTTCTTAACTCATGTCTTCCAAAGTCCCTGGACCTGACAATCTTGTACGGTAACACAATGTAGATATTGATTTCCTGGGTGCAGCTGAAGCTGAGTTGGCATCAAAGAATGCGCCCTGAGATTTCCACGGGTTGAGCGAGCCTCCTTCTCCCTGCAAGGGAGTTCACCCCAATTTGAGAAGCGCAACACCACCAAAACACAGAAAGAACAGGCTGTTCCTTGGCACAGGGAGTGTCTTCTCAGCAGCAGGCTCCCAGAAGGACCACGTTCGATCTTCTCACGATGATGCCCCTGCTGATAAGGACGGGTTGGGACATCTTGAGGTCGGGAGGGAGGGATTCTTCATATTCTAGAGCAGAGGGTTCCATCTTGGCCACTTGAAGACTTCTGGACTTCAACCCCTGGAGGAGGAGGGGGGAAAGAAGAATGAGAAAGAGGAGGAGAAGAGGGAAGGGGGGAGGAGGAGAAGGGATGAAAGAGGAGGAGGAAGAGGGAGGGAGGAGGAGGATGAGAAGGAGGACAAAGAAAAGAGGGAAGAGGAAGAGGGAAGAGGAGGAGAAGGAGGAGAAGGGATGAAAGAGGAGGAGGAAAAGGGGGAGGGGAGGGGGAGAAGGAGGAAGAAAAGGAGGAAGAGGAGGAGAAGGGATGAAAGAGGAGGAGGAAGAGAGGGGGAGGGAGAGGAGGAGGAGAAGGAAGAAAAGAGGGAAGAGGAGAAGGAGGAGAAGGAGAAGGGATGAAAGAGGAGGAGGAAGAGGGGGAGGGGGAGGAGGAGGAGAAGGAGGACGAAGAAAAGAGGGAAGAGGAAGAAAAGAGGGAAGAGGAAGAGAAGGAGGAGAAGGAATGAAAGAGCAGGAGGAAAGGGGGAGGGGAGGGGGAGGAGGAGGAGGAAGAAGAAAAGAGGGAAGAGGAGGAGAAGGAGGAGAAGGAGAAGGTATGAAAGAGGGGAGGGGGAGGAAGGGGAGGAAGGGGAGGAAGAAGAAAAGAGGGAAGAGGAGGAGAAGGAGGGAGAAGGTATGAAAGAGGGGGAGGGGAGGGGGAGGAGGAAGAAGCGAGGGGGGAGGAGGAGGAGGAAGAAAAGATGGAAGAGGAAGTGGGAAGAGGAGGAGAAGAGGGAAGAGGAGAAGGAGAAAGAATGAAAGAGGAGGAGGGGGAGGGGGGAGGGGGAGGAGGAGGAGAGGGAAGAGGAGGAGGAGGAGGAAAGGAAACAAGGGAAGAGAAGGGAAGGAGCTGGCTGGGGAATTCTGGGAGTTGAAGTCCACGAGTCTTAAAGTGGCCACCCGTGAGCTACAGCGTTGACCGAACCTCCGGCAGGAACACCACGGACCAACCACGCGTAACGTGTCCCCACTCCTCCTCCTCTTGGGATCACGAGCCTTTCTCTTCGCTTCTCCCAACAGGGGGCTGAGGTGGACCTTCCATGCGACCGGGACCTGGGACCCCTCTTGCTGATCCGCCTGCAGAAGGAACCGTATTCTTGTTTCCCCGAGAGCAGCTGGTACTGCGATATCGTCCAGGTGACTAGTCCTCAAGGAGAAGTCTTCCTCTTCCCCTGTTACCAGTGGATCGAGGGTTACTGTACGGTCTCCTACAGAGAAGGAACAGGTGAGTAGGTACAGGAGGTTGGGAGAGGAGTCGTGGATCAGACCTCCCAGAAAACATGAGTGTTTTTTCCGCGCTCACACACCCACCCACCCACCAAATACAGGTAGTCCTGGAACTTACGACCACAGTGGAGCCCAGAGTTTCTGTTGCTAAGGGTGGCTGTCGTTAAGTGAGATTTGCCCCATTTTACGACCTTTCTTGCCACAAGTCGACTCAACTCGGGAACATCACCAGTGCCAGAAGGGATGGGGGCTTGCTCTCAGATTATATACAAGTGGCTTGGTGATGATCATCAGCGCTGATGAGATTCCCTAGTTGGGTCATGAAACGTCTGCCAGAAAACCGCCAAGCTCAGAGAGCACCGAAGACCTCTCAGTCTTCTTCCTCCTCCTCCTCCTCCTCCTCCTTTCTAGCACTGATGATGTTACCTAGTTGGGTAATGAAATGTCTGGAAAAAAATCCGCAAGCTCAGAGAGCACCGAGGACCCCACAGTCGTCGTCCTCCTCCTCCTCCTCCTCCTCCTCCTCCTCCTCCTCCTCCTCCTCCTCCTCCTCCTCCTCCTCCCTTCTAGCACTGATGATGTTACCTAGTTGGGTAATGAAATGTCTGGAAAAAACCCCACAAGCTCAGAGAGTACCGAGGACCCCACAGTCGTTCTCCTCCTCCTCCTCCTCCTCCTCCTCTTCCTCCTCCTCCTCCTCCTCCCTTCTAGCACTGATGATGTTACCTAGTTGGGTCCTGAAACATCGACAACAGGGGTGTCAAACTCGATTTTTCCACGGGCCGGATCAGCGTTCTATCTGTCCTTCGTGGGCCAGTGGCAGGGGAGACGGGGAGGAGTTGGGCGCATGTGCGCGCAGGCCCCATCCCTGCCATCTTGGCTGTCTACTCTGTGCCCGTGTGCGTGCCGGGATGTGTGTGGGACAGGCCGACCCTTCCTGGAGGGCCAGCTGCAGAGCCCCTGCTGCTGGACACCTTCCCCTCCCAGTGGACACACATGCCTGAAAGGCCCCACAGCCTCAGAATTGCCTTCTCGCTGCCCCCACTGCGCCAGCCCTTGACTTGGATAGCTGGCCGGAAGTTCCATTCTCCAGCCACTACCCCGCGATTCTCTGCCCAGCTTCCCGAGGAAATGTCAGGTGGGACACGCTGCAGCCGGGCGGAGAGCAGGCCGGGGAGCACGAGAATCGCAGGACAGCAGCTGGAGAATGGAACTTCCGGCCAGCTATCCAGGTGAAGGGCCGGCACGGCGGGGGCAGCGAAAAAGCAATTCCGAGGCTGCAGCTGGAACGGCCTCCGCTGCCAGGTGGAGAGCAGGCTGGGGGGGTGGGGTGCGAGAATCGCGGAGCAGCGACTGGAGAGGGGGAACGGGCTGCCAATGACGGCGGCTGCGGCGGCAGCTGCATCCCCTGATCCACGAGGAAGAGGAGGAGGCGGTCGTGGCGGCCGATGGGCAGCCTATGGACAGGGAAGCGCTGGCCCGCCGCCTCCATGAGCGCACGCTGGGGTGGGGTGGGGTGGGCCAGGCCTGTGTGCGTGTGCGCCCGCTTCCTCCTGCACTCACACACTGGGATAGTGAGGGCCAGGCCGAAGTGACGTGGGCCAGTCCCTTACAATTTGCAGGACGGCCACGAGGGCCGGATTCTACCATGTTGCGGGCTGGATCCGGCCCGTGGACCTTGAGTTTGACACTCCTGATCTACAAGAAAACCACCAAGCTCAGAGAGCACCAAGGACCCCCATAGTCGTCCTCCTCCTCCTCCTCCTCCTCCTCCTCCTCCTCCTCCTCCTCCTCCTTCCTCCTCCTCCTCCTCCTCCTCCTCCTCCTCCTCCTCCTCTCACAAATCCCATTCCCTTCTAGCCAGTGTTGGCTTTCATTTAACTCTGCATCCAGTTGGCTCGTGCATGCACAGAGCATATTTGATGACCTCCGGGCAGGTGGGCGGAGCCTCCCTCTGCCGCCGCTACCGGTTTTCCCGAACCGGGATGAACCGGTAGCAACCCACCACTGCTTCTAGCTCCAATAATGTTCTCTAGAGAGCGGCAAGGACCCCTCATTTCGAATCTGAACGGCAACGCTTCTCTCCCATAAGTCCTCCCACATCCTGCCTTTGCCTCCTTCTCCATTATCCTGACTCCTAGGAAGGTCGTTAAGAAGGAAACCAGAAAGCATCCAGTCTCTTAGGGGTGCCCAGCAGTGGTGGGTTCCTCCCGGTTTGGCCCGGTTCGGCCGTGCCAGTAGCTGTGACGATATGACGTCACCGAACCGATTCTCTTTGTTCGGGAGCTGGGCCCTCCCACCCCCCCGTTATTCTTACCTTTTATTTGGCCCCACCCCCAATCTATTCGCTGCCTCCCGAGTCCCAGCTAATTGGCTAGAAGAAAAAAAACCTGTTTAAACTCTTGCCGCAGGGCTTCAAACGGCCGCCCTACAGCTGATCAGTGTTAAAAGGCAGTGTTGTGGCTCCGACCCCCGAGCCCATCTTATCAGAGGAAGACGGCTCCGAACATGAAGGAGAGGAGCCGGCCAGGCCTCCCTCTCCAGGCCCCTCCTCTCTGGCAATACCTCAGGTGTCTGCCGAGGGAGAGGAGATTGACCAGGAGCCAGGTGTCTCCGATGACAGTGATGAGGGTGATAAGTCGTTCCTGGATCCACGCCAACGAAGGCGAGATAAACGTTTGCAGCAGATGAGGAGGCGTGCCAGGGATTAAGCTGAGTCACTGGACCACATCCCACAGGCTATATAAGAGAGTGTGGTGGCCATTTAGACTCTGTGACGGACAAAGCTAACTTCTGGCTAGTCACTTTGTACAACGCCGAATCTGCTGAAGGTTTCATGTTTGAGCTGGACTGTGTGTATTAGTTGGTGTTATCTGGTGGAGGAACACTCCCTCTTCTTGTAGTAAAGCACTTGGCAGACGGTTATCGTATTGCTGCCAAGTTCCTGATAACGAACCTTGTGTGTGCCGAGTACTTCTTTAACCCCCGGCTGGCTGTTTGTGTGTGTGGGGGGGACGGGGACAGAACAGGCAGTGTGGTAGTAGACCAGTGCCTACAAAAACAAATAGGTAGACCGGTACAGCTCTGCAAGCAGTTAAAAGCCTAGTAGACCAGTACCTCTGCTAAATCCTAAAGAATTGTCACATGACCATCAAACCACGCCCACAAAATAAGCCACGCCCACAGAACCGGTAGTAAAAATATTTTAGAACCCACCCCTGGTGCCCAGGAACTGGTTCTCAAAAGGGAATTTTGAGAAACCGTTGCTGGAATTCTCCTCACCCCCTCCCTTTTTTTTCTTTTCAATAAATCTTGCTAAAGAAAACTCCGTCAGAATTGCAGGCGCCCTCCTCTTTTTTTGGCTCGTGGCCAAGGAGACACGAAAAGGAGAAAAACTCCCGATTGTTCCTTCTGATTGTTTTTTTTTCTTCTTCTTTTTTCACGGACAGCTCACATCCCTTCCGACGACACCCACGGCCTTCAGCGGAGGCATCGTCAGGAGGAGATCCAGCAGCGGCAGAGAAAATATGGGTGAGTCAGGAAGAGGACGGGGGTGGAAGTCCACCCATCTTCAAGCATGCTGGTTGGGGAATTCTGGGAAGTCCACCTATCTTAAAGCAAACTGGCTGGGGAATTCTGGGAAAGGAAGTCCACCTATCTTAAAGCATCATGCCTGGGGAATTCTGGGAGTTGAAGTCCACCCATCTTCAAGCATGCTGGCTGGGGAATTTTGGGAGTGGAAGTCCACCCTCTTAAAGCATGCTGGCTGGGGAATTCTGGGAGTTGAAGTCCACCCATCTTAAAGCATCATGCCTGGGGAATTCTGGGAGTTGAAGTCCACCCATCTTAAAGCATGCTGGATGGGGAATTCTGGGAGTTGAAGTCCACCCATCTTAAAGCATCATGCCTGGGGAATTTTGGGAGTGGAAGTCCACCCATCTTCAAGCATGCTGGCTGGGGAATTCTGGGAGTTGAAGTCCACCCATCTTCAAGCATGCTGGCTGGGGAATTTTGGGAGTGGAAGTCCACCCTCTTAAAGCATGCTGGCTGGGGAATTCTGGGAGTTGAAGTCCACCCATCTTAAAGCATCATGCCTGGGGAATTCTGGGAGTGGAAGTCCACCCTCTTAAAGCATGCTGGCTGGGGAATTCTGGGAGTTGAAGTCCACCCATCTTCAAGAATGCTGGCTGGGGAATTCTTGGAGTTGAAGTCCACCTGCCTTAAAGTGGCCCAGGGTGACAAAACGTGACTAGATCACCTCCAAAATCCCTTCCAATCCCTTCCTCTCTATGACTCCAATTCCTACGACTCCCACCTCCCATACAACCAATTAGAGGGGATGCTGGGAGTTGTAGTTTAGAGCAAGATAGAGGAGAACCTCATTCCTGATCAAGAGGAATATATAGCCTTGCCTTTCCTCAACGGCGCCTTCTCAGGCTCTTGGACTACAACTCCCATCACTCAAAGCCGGGATGGGTGTACTGGATCAATATTTCGGGGAACTGTTTACTGCCCACCCCCCCAAATGGTCGCTGGAGGAAGCAGAGGGAGCTTTATTCTTTCTCTCTCGATTGTTCTTGCAAAATGTATGTACGAAACTATATACAGTATTCTCAATTTTGGCGCTTTGTAGGGATGCGGACTTCAACTCCCAGAATTCCCCAGCCAGCCATGCTTAGCTGGAGAATTCTGGGAGTTGAAGTCCGCACCACCTCAAGCTGCCAAGCACTGTATTAGAGTCTCAGGAGTTTACAAATATAATACAAAAATAAAAATAAAAATACAAAATGCAA